TCCCACAAGCTTTACTCCATTCATGTCATCATGGTCAGCTCTACTTTGAGGAGGCAGCTCTTCCCCAGTCACATTTTGAGTGCCTTCCAACCTGAGGGGTTCATTTTCCTGCACTATATCTGACAGTGTTTCTCTGCTATCCATAAGGTTTTCAGTGACTAAATATTTAGAAGTAGTTCGTCACTCCTTCTTCCTAGTCTGAAACCTGTCCACCATGGGTGACCATGCTGGCATTTAAAATACCGGTGGCATAGTTTTCAGAATCACAGCAACTCACAAGCCACCACCGTACAACAAACTGACAGACAAGTGGTGGGTGGTCTGTTTGTCCAAACTGATTGGAATACCTAAAAGGGGTTCTAAAACTTGCCCAGTGAAACAGGCTTCTTGTGGAGCCTTTGTAGTGTATAGGACCTTAGGTGGAATTCTGAGCCCCATTCCAAACCTTCTAAAGTGGGACATTCCCTCTTGAAAGGACATGCAGATCAGTCCAGAGTGACTAGAGGAACAGAAGATACTTCCTGAAAGAAAGACCAGCAGGAAAAATAAAAACAGCAGTCTGTTTGGCTATTACAAGAAAAAGCATGTTGTTTGCCAGGGAGTGATCAAGGCAAGCAATCAAGTCCCTTCAGGACAAACTCCCCCTCCAAGACTGAAACTCAAAGGGAACACACAAGTAGTCAGATAAGCTCACTGGTGACCATGTTGGTCTACATTTGAGTGAAAGTGGGGAAAAGTCATTAATAAAGATATGGGCTGAATTCAACCAAGTTCCATAGACTTCTGTCAACCTCGAGATGTGAGAGAGAAGAGGAACAGCTGGTTGGTTTGAAGTTTGGTGAGACTTGGGAACGCCTGAGCCCATGGACATTGACCTAGCCACAGAGGGCTAGAGCTGAGAGTGAAGAGTCCAGCTGATATGAAGTGGAGGAAGAAGCACACAAATGTCCAAACTTGCAGCTAGTACCCATTTGACCTAGCTTCAATGGCTTGATGACCAGAGCTCAACTAGGGGAAGATAAAGAAAGTTGATAAAGGAAGCAAGTGTAAATTGCTACAATCTGATTAATTTGACATATACTTATGGATGTAGTAGCTCAAAATACCAACCAAGAAGTAAAGAGTCTTCACATCAAGGATCAAGTCTATCCCCTCAGTACACAGGATTGATAGGGATGAGCAACTTAGGCATTGGCTATCTAAAATGGGGGGGAGGGGCACTATAAAGGCACAAAGTGGCTGGCTTACAAGTTTTCAAGAAGGAGTTTAGTTTCAGAGTGTGGGGGGGAAGGTAGAATCCCCACTGAATAATTTTCATCTTGTCTAGATGGCTCTGGTGAATGGAGTTGGGGATAGGATTCTTTTGATTCAACAGTAATTGTTATCATGACTAATTGTGATGATCACAACTGTAAAGGTAGAAGTTTTGTAATATAAAGGGAAGGGGGAAGTAGTTAAATCTTACATTCCAGGAATAGGGGATCCTAGAACCACCAAGGGAGAAGAGCATGAGCGGAATGTGGGACCCTAACCAGAGAGGCAATGACACCAGAGATGGAGGCAGAGATGATGACATGGAAAGATAGAGCAGCTGAGGACTCTAGACTCATGGAAAAAGAAAGGTTGTGTGCTGGCGGCCAGGAGACAGACGTTTTTTGCTGTTGAACTTTGCTGTTAATGCTGGATTGAGATGATATCTTAATTTGTACAAGTAACCAGTCTATTTTGATTTGCATCTATCTAATAAAGCTAATAAGGAGCTCTGGTAACGTAGTGGTTACGAATCAGGCTGCAAACCGCAAGGTCAGCAGTTCGAAACTACCAGCAGCTCCGTGGGAGAAAGATGAGACTTTCTGCTCCCGTAAAGATTTACAGCCTCAGAAACCCTGTATAGGGTTGCTATGAGTCGGAACCGACTCGACGGCATTTAACAACAACAACAATATAGCTAATGTGGTGCTGTAGGATAAGCTCTGAACAGCTAACCACCAGATCAGTGGTTCAAACCCGCCAGTCATTCTTCAGAAACCTTATACAGGATCACTATAAGTCAGAACTGACTTGCCCGCACTTAACAATAACAGCTAATGATCACAAGTATTTCTTCATGTTTGTCGGCTACTTAATGTCTTTTTTGGTGAAATGCCTGTTCATGTCTTCTGTCCATTTTTAAATTGAATTATTTGTCTTTCTCTTTTTGAGGTGTTGAAGCTGTCTAGAAATCTTAGAGATTAGTCCTTTTTTCTGATATGACATTGGCAATTTCCCCCCAGTCTGTTGGTTCTCTTTTTACTCTTTTGATGCACTTATTGTCTAATTATTAGGAGGAATCAGCCATCTAGTTTGTCTTCTGCTGTTTGTGCATTTTCTGTTATGATTCATAGTATGTTTATGCCATCTATCAGAACTCCTAATTTGTCCCTATTTTTCTCATTGATGATCTTTATAGTTCTAGGTTCTACATTCAGGTCTTTCATTCATCTTGAGTTTGCTTTTGTGTGTGATGTGAGATATGAGTCTCGCTTCATTCTTCTGCAAATGAATATCCAGTTTTGCTAGCACAGTTTGTTAAAGATTTTGACTATCTCTTCCTCATTTAATGTGTTTTGGCCCTTTGTCAAAATCAGCTGACTGTAGGTAGATGGATTTACTACTGTTTTCTCAATTCTGTTCCATTGGTCTATGTGTCTTTCCTTGTACAAGTAACCAATCTGTGGCTGTGTAGTAGGTTTTGAGATTGGAAAGTGAAAGACTTTCTACTTTGTTTTCTTCTTTCTTTTCCATATAAAGTTGATGATGATTTTCTCCATCTCTTAAAAGATTAAAGTTGGACTCTGGGTTGAGATTATATTATAACTGTAGATTGTTTGGTAGAGTTGGCATTTTTACAATGTTATGTCTTCCTATCTATGAGCATGGTATAGTCTTTCATTTATGTAAGTCTCTTTTGGTTTCTTGAAGGAGTGTTTGGTAGTTTTCTTTGTGTAGGTATTTTGTTTCTCTGGTTAGATTTATTCCTAAGTATTTCATGATTTGGGCAGATATTGTAAATGACAGCTTTCCTTACTTTCTTCCAGAGCTCACTTTATTAGTATAAAGGAATCCAAATGATTTTTGCACGTTGATCTTGTACCCTGCCACTTGCTGAATCTTTCAATAAGTTCTAATAATTTTCTCTCTGAAATTTGGGAGGTTTCTATCTTTTCTCTGGAACAGTCTGTATAGAATTGGTGTCTGCTCTTTTCTGAATGTTCAGTAAAATTCACTGGTCAAGCTATCTGTGCCTAGACTTTTCTTGGTTGGGAGTTTTTTAAATGACCTGATCAATTTCTTCTTTTGTAACCAGTCTGTTCGAATTTTCTACTCCAGACCATGTTAGTTTAGGTAGGTCACATATTTCTAGAAATTTGTCCATTTCTTCTAGGTTTTCAAATTTATTGGAGTACATATTTTTCATAGTATTCTGTTATTTTCCTTTTAATTTATGCTGGTTCTATTGTGACCACCCATTTCGTTTCTTATTTGCATCTTCTCCTTCCTTCCCTTTGTTAGATTTGCCAGTGGTTGATTTTATTAATCCTTTCAAAGAACCAACTTCTTGTCTTGTTGATTCTTTCTATTGTTTTTCTGTTTTCTGTTTCATTTCAAGTAGGCAATTCTTGAATGAATTTGTCTAAAACTCCATTCCCCTGTGCCTATACAGGTCTCAAATTCTAGTCCGATTTTGCAGCTCTTGTGGGGGGAGGGTCTCAATTTTTACTTGTACCAAATTAAAAGAGAATTATCTCAGAGACTTGAAGCGCCTGCCTCGTTCGACAGAGACCCTTACCCGATTGGTGCCCCCAGTTCTCCCCAGTTCCTCCAGCACCCTAAGTGCCAAATACCCTCAAACAACCCTCGGACCAAAGGTTCCCTGACGCCGGACATCCCTCACAGGGAAGTCTGGTGTCCTCCCTCACAGAGATACAGGGCGGGGCGGAGGCGGCCAGGGGGCGGACCCGAGGCTTAAGTCCCGAGGCCGCGGCGGCGGGGCCACAGAGAGCGGCGAAGGCAGAGCAGAGCGGACAGCTGAGTAGAGGCCGGGAGAGACGGAGCCGGTCCGCCTCCCTGAAGCGCAGAGCCTCGAAGGCCGCGCAGCCGGCGCCTCCGGGCCCGAGGACTAGTGCATGGCACCCCTAGAGCTGCGCTGAGCGCGAGGTGGCATCACCGCAGGCGGCACTATGGCCCTGGAGCAGGCTCTGCAGGCGGCGCGGCAGGGCGAACTGGACGTGCTCAAAGCCTTACAGGCCACTGGCCAGCTGGGACCCTCGATGCGTGACCCTCTGGACGCGCTGCCAGTGCACCACGCGGCCCGCGCAGGCAAGCTGCACTGCCTGCGCTTCCTGGTGGAGGAGGCCGCCCTGCCCGCTGCGGCCAGAGCGCGCAACGGCGCCACACCGGCCCATGACGCTGCCGCCACAGGTCACCTCGCCTGCCTGCAGTGGTTGCTCTGGCAGGGTAGCTGTGGAGTGCAGGTGAGTCTGCGCCTTTCACGGGCGCTCTCTGGGTGGGAGCCCAAGGGTGGATTTGGTTGAGTCCCTCCTAAACCCAACTGAGCCCACCCACCCACCCCAATGGAGTTCCTTGCGTGCGTTGGACTCTGTAGCTGAAAGTACTCTGGCAGAAGCCCTGCCTGCTACCGGATGGGAACTGGGTGATGGGGAACCAGGAGGGAATTGGGCTGATATTTACAAAGCGCTCAGGGAGGGGACAAGTGAATCCCCAAATTCCTATAGGGTTCCTGGTGCCCTGAACCCTTGTCCTGCAGGATCAGGTCTGAAGGGGAGTGACCAAAATCCCACACTTCAGCCTAGGTTCAGATGAAGAAGGCCAGAGCATGGGACTGATAGTGGGTCCTCCAGGACCTAGACTGACTCCTGACCTCAGTGCCTTCAGGCCTCCCAGCTTTGAGTTCCTTCTCCACAATCCCAGCCTGTCTTCCTGTCCCCAGGCTGTGCAAGACTGACCCCACCTGAGCTGGAGGAGGAGGCAGCTCAGGCTCAACTCATAATCCTGCCAGGTACCTGTTGGAAACAGAACATGCAACAGGTGCAATGAAACCCCTGCTTATCTGGAGCTGCCAGCCCATAGGGACAGCAGAGTGGCAGGTGCTGCTTGAGCTAGGTGGCTAGAGAAGGCCCCTGGAGGGTAGTCCTGACTGCTGAGAAGGAGATGGCCAGGTGACAGGCAGAGTTCTGAGCAAGGGGAACAATAGGTGCAAATCCCTGAGGCTTGCAGACTCTTGCCCTGTTGGAGGGACAGACAGCAAGGAGGCAAGTATGATTGGAGTGGAGTGAGGGCAGGTTCTGCAGGGACTAGGAAACTAAAGATTCTGAAGGATAGACAGCTGCTGGGGGAAGCCAATGGTGGGAAGGCCACCAGGTTAAAGGGGAGGAGTCCCTGGGGGTGCTAGTGGTTAACATGTTCAGCTGCTAACTGAAGAGTTAGCAGGTCAAGCCCACCCAAAGAAGCCTTGACCGAAAGGGGTGGTGATCTGTTTCTGAAAAATCAGTCACTGAAAACGCTATGGAGCACAGTTCTGCCCTGACACACAAGAGGTCTCTACAGTCAAAGTTGATTTCTTGGCAACTGATTATTTTAGAAGGGGAGGAGGCCAGAATGATTCTGAGCTGGTTGCTGTACTCCAGACCCCCTCCCACTTCCGGGAGATGGCTTTTTCTCTCCTGCCTGGCCCTGCTATCAATGGCTTCTGGCCTTGTGAGCCTTGCCCACTCTTGGAGGTGGGGTTGGCATGCTTCTCCCTGAGTTCAGCCTTGGCGGGAAGCCTCCCTCTCCTCCCTAGACCCAGTGTTCAGCTTTGCCCGGAAGCCTCCCTTGCCGCTGCAGAGGAGGTGGGAAGAAGCAGGTGGCCTTGTGCCCAGCTTATCACGTCCCCCTCCCTCCAGCCCCAGTGGGCATGGGTACTAGAGGCGGATGTGTATGTGTGAGTGTGGAGGTGTTGACCTTGATTTCTTGTCCAGTCCAGCCTGGAGAGATAAGCAGCTTTAGATCCGGGGGACAGCATGCCGGCTCCTGGGGCCTACACAGCTGAAGCTCAGACCCACAGTCCCTGAGGCCAGGAGGAAGGAAGGGCTTTTTCAAGAGCTGGGGCTCAGTCACCCTAGTCTTGCTCTAGTCACCTCAAGCCAGCCCCAGCCCCAACCCCAGGGCTTAGGGGGATAGCCTGAGCCCTCTTCTGATCATACACAGGCTGCCCAGCACAGGCCTAGCAGGCCTCATGTGGGTCATTGGTGCCCAATCTTGTCTTCCTCCCTGTCTCTTCCTATCAGTCAGCCCCATCTATTTGGTCTCCCTCAGCTTCACTGACTAGGTCCCAGTCCTCGGTACCATGACCCCCATTTCTTTCAGAAGGCTCAGAGCTGCTTTTCCCAAGGAGCTTGGCTCAAGGTCTCCAAGTTCTGGCTGCCTCAGCCTCCTTTGTCTCCACCTTGCCCTCTCTTGGGGTTCCATGCCCTGTTTCTCATCACATGATGCCCACCCCTTCATGGATGCCTCAGTCCCCCCCCCCACATCCTTGCCACCTCTATGCCAGCTCACGTGCTTGGCACTAGAGCTTGTTCTGTTCAAGAATTGGTGCCCACTCTCTCAAACACACCAGCCTTTGGGCACAGACTTCCAGGTGTTTGGCAATTCACATTCTTAACTTAGGTAACTTGCAATACCAATTCCCTTCTACATCTGGAAGCTCACAGAAGACTATGCTTTCAGTATTCTGGGCCCAGACCATCGGTCCCACCCCTTAAGGTAACTTAGGAGGTCTTGGCCAAGACCCTCTCAGGGGCTGCCTCTCACCTACACCACTGGTCTGCCCACCACTACTACCAGAAGCTTACTTCTCCACAGGGAGAATGGGGGTCTGCTGGGAGCATGGGGGTCTGCTGGGAGAGTTATTTTCTGCCCTGAGGTTGGGTACTTGGGGATGCTATTCATAGAACAGAGGTCTCTATTCCCATGTGACATGCTGGGGAGGAGGGACACAAGGGTGCTCGTCACCATGCTGGTGCCAGCCTGGAGTAGTAACCCCAGTAACCCACCCTTCCTGGTCCTGCTCAGCCCAGCAACCTCCACTCACTCGTTCAGATGCTTGCACCTGGCTGCAAGGCTTTGGGAGAGTGAGCACCAGTTCTGGAACAGAATAAGCTCTTAGCATCAAGCACCTGGGCCAACAGAGAGGTGGCAGGGATGGGGAGGGGCTGAGGCAACTGTGAGGGGTAGACCAGGGACCACGGACGTAAGCGCAGGTGCATACTTTCGAGCACCTGAGTATCAGGGACTACGGCTCTAGCCCATGTCTTGAGAACCCACCAGGTATGTCACTGAGTGACCCGCTATCCTTGGAAAAGCTTGGCACTGTGGGCCATTTGTAGACTGAGGGTCAAAAAGGATTAAAATCTCTGGATCAACTCAACCCCCAAACAGTGGTTAAGTAAGGTCTGACTTCCTCACTGTTGTTGTTAAGTGCCGTGGGAGTTGGTTCCAACCCTGAACAGGGTTTCCGAGGCTGTAAATCTTTACAGGCGCAGAAAACCTTATCTTTCTCCCGTGGAGCAGCTGCTGGTTTCGATCTGCTGAACTTGCAGTTCGCAGCCCGATTGGTAACCACTACGCTACCAGAGCTCCTGACTTCCCCACTAGGGGTAAACAAAGAGGACTGGCTGCCCCAGGGGCTGCTGGGAGACAGGAGGTAGGGCCAGGCTTTTGGACTCACTGCTCTCTTCCCACAGGACAAAGATAATTCTGGTGCCACAGTCCTGCATCTGGCTGCCCGCTTCGGCCACCCCGAGGTGGTAAACTGGCTGCTGCATCATGGCGGTGGGGACCCCACCGTGGCCACAGACACAGGCGCCTTGCCTGTCCACTATGCCGCCGCCAAAGGAGACTTCCCCTCCCTGAGGCTGCTCGTCAGATACTACCCTGAGTAAGGACACCTTTGGGGGCCCCAGGTGGGGCGGGCCCAGGGTTGGGGAAGCCATGCGGCTCTAGCATTCCAGGAAATGACCGCTCCGCTCCTGTAGCCAGGGATGCAAGCCAGAGTTCCATCTCTTCCAGCTGTATTTTCTCTCCTCCTTGGTATCCCTCCAGGGGCTCCCCATGGCCACTTGCCCTAGAGCTATGCCGGCAGTGCTACCCAACATCCTCACACTGCTCCCTTCAGGACGCTGACCAGCACACTTTGAGGGGCTCTCTTGAGCTCAGGCCTGTGCTGATCTTCAAGGCTGTTCTAAGTGGAATGGGCGGGGGGGGGGGGGGGGGTATCTTCTAGGCACTATCAAGTAGAAAGAGGAGGAGCCACATTAGTTTACAAACTCCCTATCCAACTTCTGCAGTCCTGCCCACACCTCTGCCTCTTCTAGTCCCAGAGGTCTCTGAATAGGCCTACCAGAGAACAGCTAGCCATTTCCTGTGGCCCTCTCAGCCCATCCCCAGTACTCAACTGCCCAGACCCACAACATCTTTGGTCTAAGTGGCTAGTCTGAGAAATCAGCTCCCCAGGGCAGGATGGGGGCATACAGAGAACGGGGCTCAATAAAATGGTATGGGGGTGGCGTGTGACCCCTCAGACTTCATGAGGGAGAAGAATCATACTCAACATCTGCGCATGTCTGATTCCTTTGAGGCAGAGGTCAGACATGCCTCCACCCACCAACTTTCTTTACCAGTCTGTCACCAACTGTTCCTCCCACGGCACCCTCTGCTGGGTTCAAGAATTCACTGCTGTGACCACACAGAACTCACACACCATACTCACGATTTATGGGGGTTTTAGGGAAATAACTAGTTACAACTCGGGATGCAGTTCTATCACACCCACCGCCTCTCAGCCTTGCTTGCAGGCACCTAGGCCCTCTACCTCATAGCCTGCTTGGGCAAGTATTATAAAGCTCTTTTAGCTCTTGACCTCCCAGCCCTGTGGCCCCTTGATCTCTGGCCTGCTTAGGCAAGTACAGCTCTATAGATAAATATCCATTCCACCAGTCAGCCGCAGCCTGAAGGTGCTCAGCTGCAGCTCCCTGTCCCCATCATGTGCCTGGAGGTAACCCACTCTGCTTACAAGTCTCCTGCCTGAAGACACTCTCTCAGTGGGGTGGGAAGCCCAACACTCTGTCTCATGTTCTTCATTCTGCTACCTTTGCTGCTGCTGTATCTCTGCTGTCTGTCTCTGGTGTCACAACTCTCTCTTCTGGATAGAAGACATTCAGCACAGAGATCCCACGGGTACATGCCACTCCTGTCTTCTTTCTTGATAACAGTGAGATCTCCCTTTCTGCTTCTGAGATGGCTCATTTTAAACTTACTGGGATGTCAAAACTGACCAATCCCCATTTACATGGCCCATTACCAAGGTGCCATGAACCTTATTTCTATTATTAGAAAGCTGTCCAATCCCCTTGATGGACCACAAACACCTCACATTTGCATAGGTGGATCAGCACTGGACTGCAAACCACAAGGTCAGCTGTTCAAACCTATTAGCTGCTCCTTGGAAACCCAGTACAGGGTTACTGTGTGTCAGAACCAACTCAACGGCACTTAACAACACCCAGTCACTCAAAAAATCCCTAGGGTAAGTGTTGGGCTGCTAATAGAAAGGTCAGCAGTTCAAACCCACCAGCTACTCCTAGGAAAAAAGATAAGGCCGTCTGCTCCTCATAAAGATTTACAGTCTCAGAAACACATTAGAGGGTCAGTATGCACACCTATGCCCTGCAGGCTCACATGAGGATCCTGGGGAAGGAGTCAGGAACCCAGGGCCACAGAGGCCTGAGCTGGGATGGGGGCTCTGACCAGCATCCTTTGTTAGACAAATGGTGAAAGAGATCCCAGGCTCAGGAATATGAGCAGCTATGGGGTGAGAGGGTCCACTCTTGAACACCCTCAGGGCCACTGGCAGTCCTGTCCAATGCACAGCCACAGCACACTGGCCTGGACGTAGAGTGGCTCTCATAACCCTGGGGCCAGGCTCCAGTATCCCTCAGCCGTTTCTGTCCTCTCTAGGCAAAAGGGCTCTGGGTTTGTTCAGGGAGAGCTGCTCTACCCAAGTGCTCCCTCAGGCCGGGGTGTCTTCCCAGCCACCCCTTAGGAGCCACTTGGGCATGAATCCTTGCTCAGAAAAAAACAGGCGGCTGACTCACATCCGAGTCAGGAGGTAAAGGAGGGTCTCAACCTGTACCCGAGGGGCTCTACCCCTGAGGTAAACTTTGCAGGTAGGCGTGTGGGAGCTGTGAGTGTGACAGGTCCCACCCCCACCATGGTGATTCTGAAGCACACATGGGTAGGAACTGTGGCTCCTCTCCCACCCCCTCACTTAAACCAGAGAACACTGAAGTCCTGAGAGGGGAAGGTCATGGTCACACAGCAAGTAAGCCCTCTGTCAGACCTAATGAATGTACCCCAGAAACCACAGCTAAAGGCAAGGGGTGGCCTGTGCCCTAGAAATGCAATACAAAATGCTGCTGAGTGGGATTGGAAGAGCCCTAGGCTGACCCCTAAGCTCCTCCTCACAGAGAAGCCTGGGACACAGGGTGAACCAGAGCTCTTCCTGGGCTGGGATCCCAGGCCTTTGGAAGATGTTCTAGAGCACCCTTGAGGGCTATGGGTTCTGGGGACCCTAGCCTCCACCCAGGTCATGCCAGGTGCTGGACGTGATAGGGCCCTAGGCCTGACTCTATGACCAGATGGCTTGGGCCAGTGGGCCTTCAGCCTCTCAGAAGTGGCCATGAATCTCATGGAGGAGGACAGGGCTTTGTCTCTGCAGAGGTGTGTGGCCTGGCTGATAAGGAGACACCTTTGTGTGGTTGCCAAGCAGTTGGGTGTGGTGGGGGTTGGGGTGGGACCTACAGAACAAGGGGTCTAAGGGCTGGTGGACCCATGTAGCCTTTCACCATGGGGATAGAGAGTCCCCCTCCCAAGTGTAGGGGTTGGGGGAGGGCAGAGGCTCTGGCTGCCCCAACAGCAGGGCCCACTCAGGGGACCTAGGCAGCCAGACTTGAGGCTGCAGCTCCTTGCCCCCCTGCACCTGCAGCCCTCTGTGAATCGCTGTGAATTATTCACGAGGGCTCAACTCTCTCCCTGGTGGCAGTGGGTGAGGGAGGAAGCGCTTCAATACAGGTGGAAATTTGATCCAGCCCAGGGAGGCTGTAGGTGGCCATGGCCATGGCAGCGACATGCAGCTGAGGAAGTGGGGGGCTGTCCAGGCTGCTTGGCAAGAGCAGACCCTCGGGATTTGAGGAGGACCCTGCACCCACCCAGCACATCCTTAGTCTACCTCATTCACCTCAGACATTCTCCCAGAAGCAGAGGAATGGCCATACTGATTTCAGGGCCACTGTCCCTCTGGGGCCCTGCCGTCTGAGCTCCCCGTGGAAGGAAGGGCCCTTAATGGGCAACCTGAGGGCTGGCAAGAGACAGCTGGGGCTGTTTCTGGCCTTGAGCCCTGAGGACTTAGGGTCTGGAGTCAGGGTCTGTTGGGCAGGAGCTGTAGTGGCTAGGGTTAGAGGGGATGAGGTGTCCAGAGCCCAGCCGGGGCAGGTGGAGAAAAGGTGAGAGGCAGAGAACCCTCAGAACACTGACCACCCTCCCAGCACCATCCAGGTCCAGCGACAACCTCATGCTCATTAAACCAAAACTAAACCAAACCTAACCTGGTGCGGCGCTGTGGGTTTATGCGCCAGACTGCAAAGCCATTTGAACTGCAAGATCGGCAGTTCAAGCCCACCAGCTGCTCCTCGGAAACCCTATACAGGGTCACTAGGGTCGGAGTCAACTCGACGGCATTTAACAACAACAAACCAAACCTACTGCCATCCAGGCAATTCCAACTCAGCAACTGACTAAATCTTTACAGGAGCAGACAGCTTCATCTTTCTCCCAATAAGTGGCTGGTGGGTTTGAACTGCCAACTTTGAGGTTAGCAGTCCAATGTTTATCCCACAGTTACATCTGGGCTCATACTCACCAACCCTCTCTAAATCGGCTTCTGCTGCCCTGAGACCTGAGTGGCTGGAGGGAGCCCAAACCACAGGGAGCCATGGGGCCACCAATCGTGGCTGAGATGGGAAGGTTCTGGCTCTCCCTTCCCTCTGGGTCCCATGCACTTCCAGTCAGTAGGAAGCTAGAATACAAGTCTGCCCAGAGATTTGTATCAATTCCAACTCCCCGAAGGTGTCTCCTTCCCCCAAGGCCTCCCCACTCCCCACGACAGGGTAGACTGGGACTTGCCCCGGCCCAGAGGCCAGGAGTCAGAATTAAATCTGGAGCAGCATCTACTTGCTTAGAGCCTCACAGCCACCTGAGGAGGTAGGTGCTAGAATCAGCCCATTTTACAGATGGACTAAATCAACTCATACTTATCAAACACCTATGTCTGACAGTACTCTAATTGAACCAGACAAACTGCCCTACTGTGTAGACGTGACAGAAACAGAAACAGCGTCTCGAGGAGGCTCTGTGACCAGTCAATATCAGAGACCATCACTGACCTTCTGTGTGGGCTCAGCAAACCACAACTCTTCTCTGGTCTGTCCCCCACTCCTGGTCTAGATCTGGTATCTTGAGCTCTCTGGTCCCGTGGCCAACCCAGGCTGAGAAGGGTTCCTAACCTTTGGGTAGATGACTCAGCTGTTCTGCTGGAAGGCTGGGGTCCTGCCTGGGTTCAAGCCTGCCCTGTACCTGCTGGCCTCGTTCCTGCACAGGCAGGGGGGTTCAGCCATTCTTCATTACCTCTGCCCAGGGCCACCCTTGGTGTTTGTCTAGGTCACTTCTGAAACAGGGCCTGGGGGCGGAGCCTGTGTAGCCAGGTCACAATGGAGTAGGAGAGTGGCCCTTGCCCTCTGAACCACTCTGAGAAAGGAGCATCCAAAATGCCATTCTGGGGAGGGAGCAGGTGCCCTTTGCCCTCCCCTTCCCATTGCTTTTCCT